CAACTTTAACATAGTACATTAAGTCATCACTACACAAATATGTCTCTATTTTCGTGACGGTTATCATGAACCCATTACCTTATACTTCTGGTTTGCAGGTGACGTCACAGCGGCCATCTTGGTCGTCAAGAACAAAAGCATTTCTCTTCTCTGGGAAGTAACCTCTATTTTCATGTAAATTCTTCGAGAAGACAATTCTATTGTACTGACCCCCAGCATGGTCGCCTTGTCACGTGGATGCAAACTAAGAATATCCATATGGTAACGTGATATCAGTGGAGGAGAAGAGGCTGTCATCAGTCCTCATCGGTGGATTGCTCAGATGACTGAATGTTACCTACTATTGTTATTTGCCATCGTATCGATTGTTTTATCCAAAATAAAGTCTGTTGCGAGGTCGAATTATTACAGGAATTAGTAGCAAAAGCGAAGTACTTTTTCAGCTAAGAGCTAAAGAAGACTCATATACAACGCTTAAACGATGGAACATCACCCATGGCCCTAGGGCACGAAACCCCCTCCTTTACAAAAATGGGCCTTGGGTCCATATAACAGTTGAGTACGCCACCAGAACTGCTAACTTTTGTCCCCTATCACTTTCAAATTCGTTCCTACGGGTCTGCATGACAAGACAGCATATCTCGGGAAAAAAAGCGGCGAGAAAACTTCTTCGATTTGAAAGTAGGTTGGCTGTGCTTGGTAATTTGAATTGCGCGTCACACAGAAAAACAGGCACAAGTTGATTTGGCCAATTGATTCATGATAAAAACTTATCTTCTCGGAGAAATGGTAGTCTTTCGTTGTTTTCACTTTATTTGTAACTAAACTTTAATTTGAATAATCATTTTACGTAAGTGCATCAATCTTAGCCATCGGTAGCTGTCCGGCAAACTGAGAAAGGTTTACCTCGAATTATGGATTGCTTACTAGCCTACGTAATTTAGTTTACTTTAAAAAAGAGACGAAGAACAACAGTCAACAAGCTGTAAACAAATCGAACAACAGAGGTGCTATGTACAGGTTGCTGTATATGGGGAAAGTATATATATTAATAATATAGTTTTATCTGTATTTTTTAACTTGGTTTAGCAAAAAGTATCTCACTCTACTACTTGGCAATTTAAAACAACGAAAAATCAATAAAAGGCCGATTAAAAGCCTTTATCTGACGCCGGGCACTAAGTCAGTAGTGGTCCCTAGAAGTATTTCAACGAGTCACAATTTTAATTATGTCAAGTGATTTCTGCACCGTTCTTTGAAGTTAGTCGGTTGCAGGCAATTACCTTCAAGAGGGCATTCCGGTTTCTTGACGGTAATTGCCTCAGACAAAACGTGATTTACCAAGCGACTGTAACGACTGGGACAACAACAGAATCATACATTGGACTTAGTAGCCACTAACTTCAAAGAACAGTACAGAAATCAGATCACTTGACATCCTTCCGACACGCGAACAGACGAAACGAGACGGAACTGTCCAAACATGTGTGGACCCTCAAAGATGCCAACAAATCCTTTCATGTGCAGGGGAAAGTACTCAGGAATTGTAAACCATATGACAAGGCTAGCAAAAATTGTAATCCGTGCCTCCAAGAAAACATTTTTATCATTTGTAAAAAACACTTATGTACTCTGAACAAAAGAAAGGAAGTTCCAAGTTCATGCCCATACAGAAATAGATTCACTATCAGAAATTTTAGAATAACGTAACGCAACGCAACGAAACCGCACGGATGCCGAAAAACCCATTGGGAGCCTCTATACCTCCGTGTCAACTTTGTGTCTATTTACCAAGTTTTTAATCACTCTGCGTCTGCCTCGTCACCAGCCTCTCGCAATGGCATATTCAGAGATTTTTAAGTTCGGAGGCCTACCCATCATCCCCCACTCGCTGTTCTACACTCGTTTCCCACACCCCGCATTGAACTCCACCCTCCTCACTTAGCTTTGGAAAAGAAACACGTTTCACGCGCAAAAATTCTCAGAAGCAGTCTTAAAAATTGCTTTTGCCGCAGTAGTTGCATCTTGTTCCACAAAACTTGGCAGAGTTGCTTGACGGCACCCCAGTGCAAACTGTAGAACTAGAAAAAATACCCTTCAGCATGAGTTCAGGGTGAATCTGTTTTCGGAAGGTCTACCGAGTTGTGAAGCTCGGCGGCCGTTATTCCACAAATTAAATCTACCGAGATGTGAAGCTCGGCGGCGCCTTTTCATCACTGGACTCAACTCTATGATATATATTATTTACATTTTATTACCTTGTTTTTGCATTATATTTCCTCGTTTTTGCTCCGTGTTTAATACAACTACATGGCTCTCAGCCAATCCTCAGATTTAAGAATTGTTTTTCATGTCTATTATTATAATGAAAGACAGGTTACATTCAAATAATTCCCTAAGCTCTGAAACAGTGTCATTTTCAGTTTATGTATTTTTTTTTTGCCAAAAAAGAAAACTTGATACATATGCATACAGACATTCAATATATTACAAAAATGTTATTTGAAGATTAAAGAGAAGTAAATTGTTAGGAAAAGAATTAAACAAAATTTTTCTGGCGTTGAAGCTCAAATGGAAACCTTGGGGCCTATTATATGAGCTCCCTCCCTAACCTAAGACTAAACATAATGAATAAATAAACGGCAAAATCATACTGAAATATAATTAGGATAAAAAGCAAGCAAAACAAAACGGACAAAACAGACAAAAAGCAGCAAAAAAACAAGTATCATTTACAAATGGTTAATCAACTAAGAAGAAATGTTTTTAATCTGGATTTAAAAAGAGAGATAGTAGCAGCAGAACGTAAAGCATTTTTTTCTCTTTAATTCTCATCTCGTAAGTATATGGTACAAACTGACCCAGACATAATTTAGCCCATTTTTTGAACATTTGTATAACTGTTAAGACTTCCTGGCTGCGATGAGACGATTAGTAGCACATTAATAATTTACTGAGCGCGTCAGTTAAACGTCTGGCAATTGATTAAACTTGGCCTTTTTTAATCAATTTGAATCTTTGTTCTACAGATGTATCGATCAAGAATCGGTTAATAAACTTTGTATCACTGATTTCTTATTTTTTATAACATAATGGATAGATTTGTACATATTGTATATAGTTCTCCGGAATTTCTTATTTGCTTATACTGTACATATTTCTTAATTCTTATATTCTGTTTTTTTTTTTTTTCATTTGTAATTAATTAAGTAATTGATTTATTCTTTTTTAAATTATTTTAGTGTCCCCACTTGGTGGTTATACACCGCTATTACAGTTTTGACACTTTAATAAAGGTATCATCATCATCATCATCATCATCATCATATGATAGTTTAGCTCGTTTTCTAAAAACCAGAGGATAAGGCTATTTGTTTTGCCAATTGCAGGGCAGCAACAAGATTGCAAATAACTCCGTCGTTTAATAAAATAAAAATACAGCCCACGTATCTAATTGGTTTTCGACATGATGAAGCTATCACATAAGGAAAACAGATATATTAAAAAAAGGTTCGCTTGAACGTAGTTGCTTCGGAGAAAAGTCATGGTAATGACAAACTACCAAACAATTAGAGAACTGTATTGTTCTGCAAAATTCACTGGAGAGTCGAGGAGAGGTACATGGCGAGCTAATTTTTCTCTGAGCCAAAAGAGGACAGCTAAATATGATGGTGAATGATGGTGCAAGTTCCATGTTAATATTTTGGGTTCACTATACTCAATCGAAATGAACATCAATCACCATGGCGTTTTTAATTTTAAATATTCTACCTTTCCTATAACAGATCCGAATTAGACGCGCCGGGAGATGATGTGAACGGGGAAAATAAATTTAAAAAACAATTTAAATGAAGATATAATCTTGACGTAGTGAAATAGCAATTTAAGCAATTGCAAATAAACCGCCCAAAATGTAGCCCTCACAGTCTGACATGTTTGGGGATAAACTCGGTTAACACTTCCTCTTCTAAAGAAAATGTGGCCAATTTAGTGCTGGTATCCATGTGAACGTCAGTCAAAGCTGAAGAAAAACGGCACAAGCAATTTGAAGATACAAAATACAGAAACACTTAAAAGCCCCCCAAGTTTAATATAAGCCCTACCAGTAACAGGCTCGCCGATATAAGTTCCCCTCTAACTTGTATTGAAATGAATGTGTTATATTATGACATTTTGAAGCGTTTACAGTAACTGCAAAACGTATTTAAATCAGCACTGCTTTAGCTTGTTTCGAACAGCTTTTTCCATTCCCGTTATAATCTCCCTCGGATATAAGCCCCTCCGTTTGATCTATAAGCCCTCCTAAAACCGCTTACAAAGATGTATAATCCCAGGGATTTTAAGCGGCTGTTTACAGCACCGCATATCATATGCTCGGCTCACAAACTTAACACCTCCTTTGGCGAAATTTTCTCGTTCTTCCTCTCACTGTGTTTACTAAAACTGCATTGCTCTCAGCTAATCGTCGAATTCAATATATATTTTTTTTTTCATGATTTTGATTATGATAAAAACAGGTTACATTCTAATTTCCTAAGCTAGAACGAACGTTTTATTTTCTTTAATTCCCATCTCGTAAATGCCGCAGACTTTAGAGCCCATTATTTGAACATTTATACATTGTTACTGAGACTTCGGTGCCTGCGATGACCCTATGAGCGTGCTGCGCGGGTCATTTTAACTTCTGGCAATTGACGAAAACCCGTTTTCTACTCAATTTGAATATATGCTTAACAGAAATATCGATCAAGACTTGGTTAATAGACTTTTTATTACTAACAATTTAGCTCGTTTTCTAAGAGCCACGCAATTGTGCTATTTGCTCCTTAATAGCACAGCAAAACAAAGGCAACAGCAAGATTGTCGAATTCCGTCGTTTAATAAACTAAAAAAACAGAGCACATATTTAATTGTTTGCTGACAAGGTGTAGCAGTCATATAAGGAGAACAGATATATTAAAAAAGAGTTCAGTTGACTGTAGCCGAATCGCAGAAAAGTCATGGAAATGAAAAATTTTACTGGAGGTGAAAACCTGCAAACAGCTGTAGAATTCTTCTGCTCTGCAGAATTTACTGGAGAGGTACATGGCGAGCTCATTTTTCTCTCTGTCGTTAACACTTGTTTGTCCATTACGGCATTTTTAGGGAACGCTCTGATCCTAGTTGCCCTAAACAAGGACAAATCCATTCATCCGCCGTCCAAACGCCTGTATCGTAACCTAGCGATAACTGATCTTTGTGTTGGTATCATGGGGGAGCCTCTGTATGTTGCTTGTATGATGTCCGTGGTGAACAAAAGATGGGCTATATGCTATTACGCATGTTTGGCAGTATATTTCGCAGGTGTTACTTTGCGTGGAGTGTCGTTGATAACACTGACTGCAATAAGCGCGGACAGACTTCTCGCTTTGCTACTGGGTCTCAGATACAGACAAGTTATAACTTTGAAAAGAACATGTTTAATTGCTATTGGTGGTTGGATTGTGTCCATTGTCGGTGCATCTATCTCCTTTCTTAATCTTCGTATATTTTCATTGTACCAATATATTGCTACAGCTTTTTGTTTAGTTACTACAATCTGTGCCTACATAAAAATTTTCATGTCTCTGCGTCATAACCAAATTCATGGTCAGAACCATGTTGTTCAAGGACAATCGAGCCAAGCAAATACACTGAATATAGCTCGATACAGAAAGGCAGTATACAGTGCACTGTGGGTGCAGGTAACATTGGTTATTTGTTATCTGCCGTACAGTATAGCTGTAGCTTTCAGAACACGTCAAGGGGGGATGCTTATATCTACTTACCTTGCTAGGGAATTTACAGCTACTTTATTGTATTTAAACTCGTCGTTAAACCCCTTGCTGTACTGCTGGAAGATCACAGAAGTGAGACAAGCTGTAAAAGAAACATTACAACTACACTTCCGTATCAACTAAGACTTAGACTAAGAGTTATGGAATTAAGACTACCAGTTGTAAAAAGCCGTCCAGAAAGTATAGTTTTAGCTTGTCAAAGGAACCTTTACTAACAAACCTGATAGGAAACTGATAGGAAACTATTGTGCTATTTGTTTTTGCCAATTGCACGGCAGCAACAAGATTGCAAATAACTCTGTTGTCGTTTAATAAAATGAAAATACAGCCCACGTATCTAATTGGTTTTTGACATGATGAAGCTATCATATAAGAAAATCAGATCTACTGTATTTAAAAAAGGTTCGCTTGAACGTATTTGTTTCGGAGAAAAGTCATGGTAATGCCAAACTAGCAAACAATTAGGGAACTGTATTGTTCTGCAAAATTCACTGGAGAGTCGAGGAGAGGTACATGGCGAGCTAATTTTTCTCTAAGACAAAGGAGGACAGCTAAATATGATGGTGGTGCAAGTTCCATGTTAATATTTTGGGTTTACTATACTCAATCGAAGTGACGTCACCATGGCGTTTTTAATTTTTAATATTCTACCTTTCTGATAACAGATCCGAATTGGACGCGCCGGGAGATGATGTGAACGAGGGAAATAAAAATAGAAACAATTTAAATGAAGATATAATCTTGACTAGTGAAATAGCAATTTAAGCAATTGCTAATAAACCGCCCAAAATGTTAAAGTTATAGCCCACACAGTTTGACATGTTTGGGGATATACTCGGTTAAGACTTCCTCGTCAAAGAAAATGAAGCCAGTGAAGTGAAGTGAGACAAGCTGTAAAAGAAACATTACAACAAATACACTTCTGTATCAACTATGACTTAGACTAAGACTTATGGCAATAAGACTACCAGTTGTAAACCGCCGTCCAGAAAGTGTAGTTTTGGCTTGTTAAAGGAACATCTACAAACGAACTTGATAGGAAACTATAAAATATGAAAGAAAAAAAATAATTAGAACTTTATTCTTCTTTAAGTTTACGTGGAACCACACCTCGCTTGTCATTTGTTTTTCACCAAATTCAAATCAAATATGTCTCAAACATGAAAGAGGAGCTTTCGTGGCTTTTGACTGAATGGAGAGGAGCCCAGAGAAAATACATTTTACCTTTCAATAGGTAACAACAGCTCGACTTAGAATATCAGACAAACGACTTATTGACGAGATCAAGCAAACCTAACTTCGAGAGAATGACAATTTGCCTAACAATAGATCGTTTTCACTGTCACGCAACAAAAAAATAAATTGAAAACCGTCAAGTGAAAGAAGCCAAGAAAATGATATGTTATAAAAGACTAATTTTTAAACAATTTGTCCAAGTCTGAGGTCTTTTTGGCCCACAGTTTCTGAGTTATTTGCCGAAACGTTTCACGCATCTTTGTAGAGCTTTGTCTGGAGACGCCATATTGGTGCACAGTTTTGGTGCACCAATATGGCCGCCGAAAATCAACAAAAACATTCGGAGTTCACTTGTTCTATAAAAGCTCCATCTTTTCACTCGAGAACTAGCCTACGTGCGCATAAACATATCTTCTAATACTTGAAATGGTTATACTACTGAAAATCAAGAGGAGAGACTTTTTTTTCAACGAGACAGCATTCCTATTTTGGTGTCACGCACTCTGAAAACTCGGAAGTTCAAATTGCTGTATTTTCGAAGTGAAACATGCTATGGGACTGAAAACTTGTACAAAGATTAACTTTTTGTTTATCTTCAACCTAGTGTAAATAAGAATTCGTAAAACCTCGCTATTTTGAGTTTACAATTTGATGACGTCACTGTGAAAACCATCTATAGACGACTGTTTAACTGTGACAACAGACGGATCGAAACGCACCAATTACTGATTACGAGTCTTCATAGCCAATAACTTCACGGCTTAACTGACAGACAATCAATAACATCGCAACGTAATTGAACAATCAGATCAATAACCAGAGTATAATACCATCAACTGACATGATACAATTCACTTTGACTCTGAAGATGACTACCGCACAGGTTGTCGAACGTCAGTCACTGTAAACAACAACAGTCCTATTCAGGACTACGTTCACCCGGACTCAACCTACTTTTGAAATGACTCCTGGGCTCAAACCTTTACCAGTAACTGCAAAACATATTTAAATCAGCACTGCGTTAGCTTGTTTGGAACAGCTTTTTCCAATTCCGTTATAATGCCCCTCGGATATAAGCCCCTCCATTCAATTTATCAAGAGCTTTTCTTAGAACCCTTACAAAGACGTATAATCCCAGGGCTTTTACGCGGCAGTTTACGGCACCGCATATCATATATATGTTTGGCTCACAAACTTAACACCTCCGTTAGCAAAATTTTCTCTTTCTTGCTTTCACTATGTTTAATAAAACTGCTGATTGCTCTCAGTTAATCGTCGAATTTAAGTTTTTTTCATTGTTTTTTTATGATAAAAACAGGTTACATTCTGATTTCCTAAGCTCGAACGAATGCTTTATTTTCTTTAATTCCCACCTCGTAAATGGCCCAGACTTTCGAGTCCATTATTTGAACATTTGTACATTGTTACTGAGACCTCACTGTCTGCGATGACATTATGAGCGCGTCAGTTTAACTTCTAGCAATTGACGAAAACCGTTTTTTACTCAATTTGAATATAGCTATTTCGAGGAAGGTTGTCGGAAAAAGTGCGCGCGACAATCCCAAAAGGTATTGTGGGTAATTTTGAGTTCACTTTTCTTCAAAGAAATTTTAAAGAATGGCACTTGAGGCCATGGACATGTGTTTGCGAGTGCTAAAGGAAAGCACCACAAATAAATTTGACAGCTATAATCGTCAGGAACAGTGTATTGATCATATCCCATGTTACCTTTCGGGATTGTCGCGTGCACATTTTTCCGACAACGTTTCTCGAAATAGCTGTATATGCTTAACAGAAATATCGATCAAGACTTGGTTAATAGACTTTTTATTACTTTTTATCGCGCAAGATGGCGGGTGGAGAGTTAAACGCGTGGAGGGTTTAACAGTCCAGAATTTAAGAGTTTAAGTGTACAGAATTTAACCCAGAGCATGAGTTTAACGGTGTGTCTCCCCTTGAACAGTTTTAAAAAAGAATATAAACTCTTTCTACTTGACAGTCAGGCATCTTGAACAACTTTAATCTGTTACTTAGTTTTATTTATTTAATTATTTAATTTAAATAGTTTTTTTTATTAGTACCGTATAACCTCTACCCACTTGTAATTGCTCTGTGGTAGTAGCCAACTCGAAAGCTTGGCTCCTTTGGCTGCTTCACACTCTTCCTTTTTTATGTTTAATTCAATGTATAATTAGCTCTGTTTTTTACTTCTTCCTTTTTTCCTTTTTGTTGTATTGTAATTGAATAAGTGGGAATAAATGAACTTGAACTTGAACTTGAACAGTTTAACTCGTTTTCTAAGAGCCAGGCAATTGTGCTATTTGCTCGATGATCGCACAGCAACACAAAGGCAACACTAAGATTGTCGAATTCCATCGTTTAATAAACTGAAAATACAGAGCAAATATTTAATTGTTTGCTGACAAGGTGCATGTAGCAGTCATATAAGGAGGACAGATATATTAAAAAAGAGTTCAGTTGACTGTAGCCGCATCGCAGAAAAGTCATGGAAATGAAAAATTTTACGGGAGGTGAAAACCCGCCAACAATTGCAGAACTTTACTGCTCGGTGGAATTTACTGGAGAGGTACATGGCGAGCTCTTTTTTCTCTGTTTCCTTAACACTTTTTTGTCAATTACAGCATTTTTGGGGAATACTCTGATCCTAGTTGCCCTTCACAAGGACACATCAATTCATCTGTCATCCAAACTCCTGTATCGTAACCTAGCGATAACCGATCTCTGTGTTGGTATCATTGCGGAGCCTCTACAGGTTGCATATTGCATATCTGTGGTGAACAAAAGATGGGATGTTTGCTATTACACATATTTGATAACATATTTGCTAGGTGTTACTTTGTGTTCAGTGTCCTTGATAACACTGACTACAATAAGCGTGGACAGACTTCTCGCTTTGCTACTGGGTCTCAGATACAGACAAGTTGTAACTTTGAAAAGAACGCGTTTTATTGCTATTGGTGGTTGGATTGTGTCTGTTGTCGGTGCATCTACATTATTTCTGAATCTTCTTGTTTTTTCATTGTACCAATATATTGGTGCAGCCTTTTGTTTGGTCACTACAATCTGTGCCTACACAAAAATCTTCATGTCTCTGCGTCATAACCAACTTCATGTTCAGAACCATGTTGTTCAAGGGCAATCGAGCCAAGTAAATACACTGAATAAAGCTCGATACAGAAAGGCAGTGTACAGTGCTCTGTGGGTGCAAGTAACATTGGTTATTTGTTATTTGCCGTTCTTTATAGCTGTAGCTTTAAGACGTCAAAGGCGAATGTCTTTATCTACGTACCTTGCTTTGCAATTTACAGTTACTTTAGTGTATTTAAACTCGTCGTTAAACCCGTTTCTGTACTGCTGGAAGAACAGAGAAGTGAGAAAAGCTGTAAAAGAAACAGTGCAACAACTATACTTCTGTATCAACTAAGACTTAGACTAAGAACATTTACTAACGAACTTGATAAGAAAATATATATAAGAAAACCAGACAAATGTCCTAGTCCGAATTGCACCTTTAAGATTGTTTTCTGTTTCATTGCAGATTGTAAAGACACAAACAAAATCATTTGTTTATGTTAAAAGTTTAATAATCATACAAAAAATGAAAATGTCACTAAAACTAGTCAGTTAGCTGATTAGTTCTCTGGCAATGAAGACTACGAAGTAGGGACGTACTCTTAAAGAGAACAGCTCACTTGATCGCAACACCACACACGTACCACACCGACAAACTCTTTTGACTAATGTTTTTTAAAGCCAGAAGACAATCAGAGAGCTTTACTGTTCTCCGGAATTTACTGCAGAGGTACATGTGTACTGTCGCACTTTGTAATAATCGTCGCACTTTGTAATACCTGTCGCACTTTGTAATAAAATTGTCACACTTTGTAATACCTGTCGCACTTTGTAATAACACTTGTCGCACTTTGTAATAAAAAAGCTGTCGCACTTTCTAATAACAGACCATCGCACTTTGTAATAAAAAAAGCTGTCGCACTTTGTAATAACACTTGTCGCACTTTGTAATAAACTTGAAACAGATGGTTGGAGGACAAGTAAACCCAGTAATAAGTTTCATCATCGACAACAACAACAACTACAATAATAATAATAAGTGTCTCATCAACTTCTGGCTTCAAGAAGTACAACTCTTTATATGCGGACGACCTCGATAGAGAGAAAGTGTCTACGCCTATGACAGGGAGAGTCGTTTAAAATGTGAGTTTGTATTGGAATTTCATTTAATTGATTGTTAGTAAAAGTAATTAGAGGTGTCCTTCAGGCGAAACGTGATCGTATAAGCAAAATATTTTTAAAGTTTTACTACTAGCACAGGAAACTAGAAAACCTATGATTTCGTCACCTGCGAGGTATTACTTGAGACATATACAGAGATATTACTTGATTTGTATTTATTACCAGGAATAAGCTTTACTGTATTTCATAAAACCAAATGAAAATTACAAACTCAGAGCACAACCCGGTGCCACAATCATTGTCATCATCATCATTATTGTCACTATTATTTTCGCACTAAAATGTTCTTTAAAACATTGCATATCACGTCATTGTGCCACGATGACCACTACTAATGTTGTGGAAATTTCGAATACGCTGGAACCCAAATGAAACGGCATCATTGTGATAAATACACAAAACCAGTGTTAGATCTGGATATAGTTAAAGGCTACGTGCTGTGTACAGCTGAACATTGTTCTCTGAGATCGCGTAAACCTAAACTTTACGGAGATATTAAAAGCAGATACCCTAAGATTACGGCAGCTATGGAAAAATTATTATATTTTTGAGTAGACAAATCTCATAAACGGGCCCCAAATTCAACAGGAATACGCGCGAACTGAACAAATTGTCTGTCGTACACTTAAGCTTTAAAGGTTCTGCTCAACTTACACAATTTTCCCTTGCTGAACATAAACCGTACCGAGCCGTATCTTGGTCCGCTATATATAAGCTATATCATGGTTCAAATATTAAACTGTAAGATCCCTGAAAGAGATCTCCTCAATGGAGCAATATGTAAAAGGTTTTCAAAGGTTTCACGCCGGTGAAGATGAGCGGCCTGTCACCTCTTGCAAGTTTTTACTTTATTATTATTATTATTATTATTATTATTATTATTATTATTATTATCATCATTATTATTGTCGTTGTTGTTGTTGTCGATGATGACACTGATTACTGGGTTTACTTGTCCTCCGACCATCTGTTTCAAGTTTATTACAAAGTGCGACAAGTGTTATTACAAAGTGCGACAGGTATTACAAAGTGTGACAATTTTATTACAAAGTGCGACAGGTATTACAAAGTGCAACGATTATTACAATGTGCGACAGTACAACATGGCGAACTTATCTTGAAAATACATGCACTGCATAAATAACAGCTGTTGATAACCATAAAAGCCACTATGTTCATAGTATAATCAAGTTTAACAAACGTCATAAGTTCAGTTTGGTAAAACTAATCAGGGCGCAATACAAATATTTCGCTGAGCTTGGTAATTTTTTTTGCGCGTCACACAGGAAAACAGGAACACGTTGATTTGGCCAATTGATTGTTTGGTGAATCATAATAAAAACTTATCTTCTCGGAGAAATGGTAGTCTTTCGTTGTTTTCACTTTATTTGTAATTAAACTTTAATTTGAATAATTATTATAGGTAAGTGCATCAATCTTAGCCATGGGTATAGCTGTCCGGCAAACTGTGAAAGTTTTACCTCGAATTATGGATTGCTTACTAGCCTACGTAATTCAGTTTACTTTAACAAAGAGAAGAACAACAACAGTCAACAAGCTGTAAACTAATGGAACAACAGATAGAGGTGCTATGTACAAGTTGCTGTATATGGGGAAAGTATATATATATAGTTTTACCTGCATTTTTGAACTTGGCAATTTAAAACAATGAAAATTCATTAAAAGGCCGATTAAAAGCCTTTATCTGACGCCAGGCAGGAGTCAGTAGTGGTCCCTAGAAGTATTTCAACGAGTCACAATTTTAATGATGTCAAGTGATTTCTGCACCGTTCTTTGAAGTTAGTCGGTTGCAGGCAATTACCTTCAAGAGGGCATTCCGGTTTCTTGACGGTAATTGCCTCAGACAAAACGTGATTTATCAAGCGGCTGTAACGACTGGGACAACACCAGAATCATACATTGGACTCAGTGGCCACTACCTTCAAAGAACGGTACAGAAATCACTTGACATCCCCAACTCGCTGTTCTACGCTCGTTTCCCAGACCCCGCATTGAACTCCACCCTCCTCACTTAGCTTTGGAAAAGAAACACGTTTCACGCGCAAAAATTCTCAAAGGCAGTCTTAAAATTGCTCAGTCTCCGCAGTAGTTGCATTTTGTTCCACAAAACTTGGCGGAGTTGCTTGACGGCACCTCAGTGCAAAAACTGTAGAACTAAAAAAAATGCCCTTCAGCATGACTTCAGGGTGAATCTGTTATCAGAGGGTCTACCGAGTTGTGTAGCTCGGCGGCCGTTATTGTACAAAGTAAATCTACCTAGATGTGAAGCTCGGAGGCGCTTTTTCATTACTGGACTCAATTCTATAATATATATTATTTACATTTTATTACCTTGTTTTTGCATTATATTTCCTCGTTTTTGCTCTGTGTTTAATAAAACTGCACTGCTCTCGGCCAATCCTCAGATTTAAGAATTGTTTTTCAATCATGCTATTACTATGATGAAAAACAGGTTACATTCAAATAATTCCCTAAGTTCTGAAACAGTTTCAGTTTCAGTTTACTTTTTTTTTTTTTTTGCCAGAAAAAAATACAAATGCATACAGACATTCAATATATTACAAAAATGTTATTTAAAGATTGAAGAGACATAAATTGTAAGGAAAAGAATTAAACAAAAATTTCTGGCGAGGACGCTCAAATGGAAACCTTGAGGCTTATTATATGAGCTCCCTCCCTACTCTAAGATTAAACATAATGAATAAATAAACGGCAAAGTCATACTGAAATATAATTAGGATAAAAAGCAAGCAAAACAAAACGGACAAAACAGACAAAATGCAGCAAAAAACAAGTATTATTTACAAATGGTTAATCAACTGAGAAGAAAATGTTTTTAATATGGATTTAAAAAGAGAGATAGTAGCAGCAAAAACGAACATAAAGCATTTTTTTCTCTTTAATTCTCATCTCGTGAGTATATGGCACAAACTGACCCAGACATAATTTAGCCCATTTTTTGAACATGTGTATACTGTTAAGACTTCCTGGCTGCGATGAGACGATTAGTAGTACATTAATAAAAAGCCCTTTTTTAATCAATTTGAATCTTTGTTCTACAGATGTATCGATCAAGACTCGGTTAAGAAACTTTGTTTCACTGATCATGACAGTTTAGCTCGTTTTCTAAAAACCAGACAATTGTGCTATTTGTTTTGTCAACTGCACGGCAGCAACAAGATTTCCAATAACTCTGTCGTTGGTTTGTGACATGATGAAGATATCATATAAGGTAAATAGATATATTAAAAAAAGGTTCGCTTGAACGTAGTTGCTTCGGAGAAAAGTCATGGTAATGACAAACGACCAAACAATTAGAGAACTGTATTGTTCTGCAAAATTCACTGGAGAGTCGAGGAGAGGTATATGGCGAGCTAATTTTACTCTAAGACAAAAGAGGACAGCTAAATATGATGGTGAATGATGGTGCAAGTTCCATGTTAATATTTTGGGTTCATTATACTCAATCGAAATGAACATCAATCACCATGGTGTTTTTAATTTTGAATATTCTACCTTTCCTATAACAGATCCGAATTGGACGCGCCGGGAGATGATGTGAACGGGGAAAATAAATTTAAAAAACAATTTAAATGAAGATATAATCTTGACGTAGTGAAATAGCAATTTAAGCAATTGCAAATAAACCGCCAAAAATGTAGCCCACACAGTCTGACATGTTTGGGGATATACTCGCTTAAGACTTCCTCTTCTAGCCAATTATTGCTGGTATCCATGTGAACGTCAGTCAAAGCTGAAGAAAAACGGCACAATCAATTTGAACCTACAAAATATAGAAACACTGAAAACCCCCCAACTTTAATATAAGCCCCACCAGTAAAAGGCTCGCCAATATAAGCTCCCCTCTTGCTTGTATTGAAATGAATGTGATATATTATGATATTTTGAAGCGTTTACCAGTAACTGCAAAACATATTTAAATCAGCACTGCTTTAGCTTGTTTCCCACAGCTTTTTAGGCTCGATTACCAGCCGCTGTTCGGGAAAATGAGCCCTCACTCATCCCCCCGAAAGAGCGGGTCTCTCTTCGGGGAGGATCAAAGACCGGACCCGGGAGACGGCGGAAATCGAGCCTAACAGCTTTTTCCATTCACGTTATATTCCCCCTCGGATATAAGCCCCTCCGTTTAATTTATAAGTCCTCCTAAAACCGCTTACGAAGATGTATAATCCCAGGGCTTTTTAAGCGGCAGTTTGCAGCACCGCATATCATATGCTCGGCTCACAAACGTAACACCTCCTTTAGCAAAATTTTCTCGTTCTTCCTCTCACTATTTACTATTTACTTACTAAAACTGCATTGCTCTCAGCTAGTCGTCGATTTCAATATATATATATATATTTTTCATGATTTTTATTATGATAAGAAATTCTAATTTCCTAAGCTAGAACGAACGTTTTATTTTCTTTAATTCCCATCTCGTAAATGCCCCAGACTTTAGAGCCCATTATTTGAACATTTGTACATTGTTACTGAGACTTCGGTGCCTGCGATGACCATATGAGCGCCCCGCGCGCGTCAGTTTAACTTCTGGCAATTGACGAAAACCCGTTTTCTATTCAATTTGAATATATGCTTAACAAAACTATCGATCAAGACTTAGTACGGTTAATAGACTTCTTATTACTAACAGTTTAACTCGTTTTCTAAAAGCCAGGTAATTATGCTATTTGCTCCTTAATCGCACAGCAAAACAAAGGCAACAGCAAGATTGTCGAATTACGCCGTTTAATAAACTGAAAAAACAAAGCAAATATTTAATTGTTTGCTGACAAGGTGCATGTAGCAGTCATATAAGGAGGACAGATATATTGAAAAGAGTTCAGTTGACTGTAGCCGAATAGCAGAAAAGTCATGGAAATGAAAAATTTTACTGGAGGTGAAAACCTGCAAACAGCTGTAGAATTCTTCTGCTCTGCAGAATTTATACTGGAGAGGTACATGGCGAGCTCATTTTTCTCTCTGTCGTTAACACTTGTTTGTCCGTTACAGCATTTTTAGGGAACGCTCTGATCCTATTTGCCCTTCACAAGGACACATCAATTCATCCGCCATCCAAACTCCTGTATCGTAACCTAGCGATAACTGATCTTTGTGTTGGTATCATGGGGGAGCCTCTGTATGTTGCTTGTATGATGTCCGTGGTGAACAAAAGATGGGCTATATGCTATTACGCATGTTTGGCAGTATATTTCGCAGGTGTTACTTTGTGTGGAGTGTCGTTGATAACACTGACTGCAATAAGCGCGGACAGACTTCTCGCTTTGCTACTGGGTCTCAGATACAGACAAGTTATAACTTTGAAAAGAACATGTTTAATTGCTATTGGTGGTTGGATTGTGTCCATTGTCGGTGCATCTATCTCCTTTCTTAATCTTCGTATATTTTCATTGTACCAATATATTGCTACAGCTTTTTGTTTAGTTACTACAATCTGTGCCTACATAAAAATTTTCATGTCTCTGCGTCATAACCAAATTCATGGTCAGAACCATGTTGTTCAAGGACAATCGAGCCAAGCAAATACACTGAATATAGCTCGATACAGAAAGGCAGTATACAGTGCACTGTGGGTGCAGGTAACATTGGTTATTTGTTATCTGCCGTACAGTATAGCTGTAGCTTTCAGAACACGTCAAGGGGGGATGCTTATATCTACTTACCTTGCTAGGGAATTTACAGCTACTTTATTGTATTTAAACTCGTCGTTAAACCCCTTGCTGTACTGCTGGAAGATCACAGAAGTGAGACAAGCTGTAAAAGAAACATTACAACTACACTTCCGTATCAACTAAGACTTAGACTAAGAGTTATGGAATTAAGACTACCAGTTGTAAAAAGCCGTCCAGAAAGTATAGTTTTAGCTTGTCAAAGGAACCTTTACTAACAAACCTGATAGGAAACTGATAGGAACTATTGTGCTATTTGTTTTTGCCAATTGCACGGCAGCAACAAGATTGCAAATAACTCTGTTGTCGTTTAATAAAATGAAAATACAGCCCACGTATCTAATTGGTTTTTGACATGATGAAGCTATCATATAAGAAAAACAGATCTACTGTATTTAAAAAAGGTTCGCTTGAACGTATTTGTTTCGGAGAAAAGTCATGGTAATGCCAAACTAGCAAACAATTAGAGAACTGTATTGTTCTGCAAAATTCACTGGAGAGTCGAGGAGAGGTACATGGCGAACTAATTTTTCTCTAAGACAAAGGAGGACAGCTAAATATGATGGTGGTGCAAGTTCCATGTTAATATTTTGGGTTTACTATACTCAATCGAAGTGACGTCACCATGGCGTTTTTAATTTTTAATATTCTACCTTTCTGATAACAGATCCGAATTGGACGCCCCGGGAGATGATGTGAACGAGGGAAATAAATTTAAAAACAATTTAAATGAAGATATAATCTTGACTAGTGAAATAGCAATTTAAGCAATTGCTAATAAACCGCCCAAAATGTTAAAGTTATAGCCCACACAGTTTGACATGTTTGGGGATATACTCGGTTAAGACTTCCTCGTCAAAGAAAATGAAGCCAGTGAAGTGAAGTGAGACAAGCTGTAAAAGAAACATTACAACAAATACACTTCTGTATCAACTATGACTTAGACTAAGACTTATGGCAATAAGACTACCAGTTGTAAACCGCCGTCCAGAAAGTGTAGTTTTGGCTTGTTAAAGGAACATCTACAAACGAACTTGATAGGAAACTATAAAATATGAAAGAAAAAAAATAATTAGAACTTTATTCTTCTTTAAGTTTACGTGGAACCACACCTCGCTTGTCATTTGTTTTTCACCAAATTCAAATCAAATATGTCTCAAACATGAAAGAGGAGCTTTCGTGGCTTTTGACTGAATGGAGAGGAGCCCAGAGAAAATACATTTTACCTTTCAATAGGTAACAACAGCTCGACTTAGAATATCAGACAAACGACTTATTGACGAGATCAAGCAAACCTAACTTCGAGAGAATGACAATTTGCCTAACAATAGATCGTTTTCACTGTCACGCAACAAAAAAATAAATTGAAAACCGTCTAGTGAAAGAAGCCAAGAAAATGATATGTTATAAAAGACTAATTTTTAAACAATTTGTCCAAGTCTGAGGTCTTTTTGGCCCACAGTTTCTGAGTTATTTGCCGAAACGTTTCACGCATCTTTGTAGAGCTTTGTCTGGAGACGCCATATTGGTGCACAGTTTTGGTGCACCAATATGGCCGCCGAAAATCAACAAAAACATTCGGAGTTCACTTGTTCTATAAAAGCTCCATCTTTTCACTCGAGAACTAGCCTACGTGCGCATAAACATATCTTCTAATACTTGAAATGGTTATACTACTGAAAATCAAGGGGAGAGACTTTTTTTTCAACGAGACAGCATTCCTATTTTGGTGTCACGCACTCTGAAAACTCGGAAGTTCAAATTGCTGTATTTTCGAAGTGAAACATGCTATGGGACTGAAAACTTGTACAAAGATTAACTTTTTGTTTATCTTCAACCTAGTGTAAATAAGAATTCGTAAAACCTCGCTATTTTGACTTTACAATTTGATGACGTCACTGTGAAAACCATCTATAGACGACTGTTTAACTGTGACAATAGACGGATCGAAACGCACCAATTACTGATTACGAGTCTTCATAGCCAATAACTTCACGGCTTGACTGACAGACGATCAATAACATCGCAACGTAATTGAACCATCAGATCAATAACCAGAGTATAATACCATCAACTGACATGATACAATTCACTTTGACTCTGAAGATGACTACCGTACAGGTTGTCGAACGTCAGTCACTGTAAACAACAACAGTCCTATTCAGGACTACGTTCACCCGGACTCAACCTACTTTTGAAATGACTCCTGGGCTCAAACCTTTCACAAATGTCCTGTATCTTTCCGAATTGAACCGTTAAGACTGTTTTCAGTCTCATTGCAGGTTATATTTAGACAAAAACAAAACTCATTAGGATCGAAAACCTCTCCCCTTCCCCCCGAAAGAGCTCTTCGAGGAGGATCAAAGACCGGACCAGGGAAACGCCGGAAATCGAGCCCACAAACTCATTTGTTCATGTTCAACATGCAAGCTAATAATCAGAGTAATCTTAATACAAAATGGATACTCACTAGTTATCTAATTACTTGTCTGATAATGAAGACCCAATGAAGGCTATGAATAAGCCACAGAAAGAGAACAGCTCATTTGCACGCAGTTACGTCACAGAGACACCAGCCAGAAAACCGTCACAGAATTGTAATGTTCTGCGAAATGTACTTTAAAATACAGTAGCATAAATAGCAGCTGTTTATCAAACAAAAACCACTATGTTAATGATATATGAAATGAATCATATATGAACTGCGGAAATGAAATGAAGATGAAGAAATGATCGTCGCAGTGAATGCAATTTATGCAATTGCGTAAAGAAGCCTGAAAAAAAAATTCAGGACTCCAACGGGGTTGGAACCCGTGACCTCGCGATTACCGGTGCGATGCTCTACCAACTGAGCTATGAAGCCACTGACGTTGGGAGCAGGTCAATTGTGGGTTCATATGTACCCGTGAAAGAAATGAGTGTTAATTATATATGAAATAAATCCACCTTTCCCCTTTCCCCCCGAAACGCCCGATACTCAGGCTATAACAACTGTAAAACACAAATTAACTGCTCTGTTGACCTTAGTGGAGAGGTACATGGCGAGCGTGTTTTTCTCTCTGTCATTAACATTGTTTTGTCAATTACAGCATTTTGGGGGACTAGTCTGATCCTAGTTGCCCTTCACAAGGACACATCAATTCATCCGAAATCCAAACTCCTGTAACGTAACCTAGCGATAACCGATCTTTGTGTTGGTATCATTGTTGAGCCTCTGAATGTTGCTCATTGAACATCCGTGGTGAACAAAAGATGGGATATTTGCTATTACACATCGACAGCATATTTCCCAGGTGTTACTTTGTTTTCAGTGTCGTTGATAAGACTGATTACAATAATCGTGGACAGACTTCTTGCTTTGTTACTGGGTCTCAGATACAGACAAGTTGTAACTTTGAAAAGAACACGTTTAATTGCTATTGGTGGTTGGATTGTGTCCGTTGTCAGTGCATCTACCTCCTTTCTGAATCCTCTTATAAATTCATTGTACCAATATATTGTTATAGCTTTTTGTTTAGTCACTACAATTTGTGCCTACACAAAACTTTTCATGTCTCTGCGTTATAACCAAATTCATGGTCAGAACCATGTTCAGCATGTTGTTCAAGGGCAGTCGAGCCAAGTAAATACACTGAATAAAGCTCGATACAGAAAGGCAGCGTACAGTACACTGTGGGTGCAGGTAACATTGGTTATTTGTTATCTGCCGTACGGTATAGCTGTAGCTTCACTGTATCTTGGCATTACAGTTTTACTTAACCCATTCGCCCCTGAACCGCCTGTAACCGCCCGAGCGGATCCACGTCCTTTCTACCCTTTGTGACGTCATCGGTTTTAACGGTCAAGGACAACTTTGTCCACTAACTTGTGCAGAGTGAAGAGATCTTTCAAACCATACCGGAATGAGCACAATTCAGTCAAGGATACCGGAGAAAGAAGCAAAAACCATGCGACATTGACCTGAAAATCTCCATGAAAATCTTGCTCCATTGCTCACCTACCTTTCCTTTCACCTAATCATAAGATCCTAAAAGCTTTTCTAAGAACTCTTCCCACCAAAATGAAGCCTACATAAATGCCCAGCAAGAGGGAAAAAAATGAGGCAAGAAAAGCGAAAAAAGATGGGAGGAGAGAAAGCGAAATTTTGCTTTCTGCGCATGCCCGAACTTTACAAGCTGATATTTTGAATCTGGATCAGAAGGCCGCGAAGTGTACGACCTGTAAACCGCTTTGTGATAAGTTTTAACTTTTTGTAGCACGACAGTGACCAGAAAACCACTCGACTAGCTTCAAAACACGTTTTTCGGCAAACTCTCCAGGAGCGAATGGGTTAATGTCCCCCGGTATGGTTCAAAAGATCGCTAAATAGCACAAAACGCGAGTTTAATTTATAAACACTCGTAGAAATTCTTGGTGGAGATGTGTTGCCCGGTTCTCCAAATCCTGAGCCTGACAAAAATTCTACTTCCTACACCCATAGTTTTAAGATCTATGGTCTGATTTCCGTCTCTAACATCCATGACAGGGGTCACAAACGCGATGTACATGTTTAGGTGTAAATCATGTCATCATCGTTTGGAGTATATAACGGTGGATGATATGTTTCGGTTATTATTCACGTAAAGGTGAGTAACTTCTCCTCTCTTCCTCATATCTCAAGGCTTACAAATGGAATTGTGGCATCTCTAAGACTTTTTCTCTCACTAACACAGATACTATTTTTTTAAAAAGGGTGAGCCTTAGATCCACTACAGTGCCTATCAAGTAAGTACCGGTTGGGTACCTGAAGAATGGTGTGACCAGGAAATGTGAAGGAACCTAAAAGGCTTCGGAAAGTTTCACCCCGAGAACGAGTAGCAGGATAGCAAAAGTTAACAACAACACTGAACGAGGTCAAATGAACATGCAGACCAATTTACTGTGCACAACTGATTTATTCACATAATTATATAATCTATAAGTAAATCTTTAAGGACTACATACATTAACCAGCAAAGACTTAATAAATTATTTGATTATGTCGGCTGGAATAAGATTCAGCACGTGTAAATGATAGTTCCGATGCCTTTCAATTTTACCCGTTTCCGAAAGAGGCTCATAGTCCTCTTTTGGAACATAATTCATCA